CTGTCACTCTCTCCTCTCTGTTATCTCTCTCTCTACGTCAAAGTTGAGCGAGATCAGGACGCAAAAACCCCCTACCCGGCATCGAGAACCTTGGGTATTTCGTGCAGATACTTGCAGAAGATGGTGGCCAATGCCTCGTACCTTGAAGCGGTCGTATAACACCAGATACCGCCGCGCAATTTTGGTACGCCCCTCGTACTGTACAGTAACCTTCAATGGTACATAACGCTGGCCTGATCTTCCGATGACCGTTTGAGGCAGCTAGCGAGGGGCTGATATGGGATGATCGTTGGTTATGGCAAAGCCGGCTCGGCAGTATACAGTGCAAACTTTTGAGTCTGGAGACAGAGCCCTTCACTCGGCAGTTTCAGATCCTGGATATCGCTACATGGTGGATAAACTTTTGGGGTGCCTTTCGTATTCAAATCTATAGGAAACCGGCCTCTACCCGGAGTAACCCCCCATACTGCCGTATCGGTGCAAGCTGTCATCATTTCTGCCGCCCTTGACCCCGTTGACCCTTGCCTTGCTCCCGTCCCGGTAGTGAAATGTGCCTCAAAAACGCAAAGAAGGACAGGCCGCGCCGGCTAAACCACGCTAAAACAATAAATTTCATCTCTTTGAAAGTCTAGACGGAACGCGGTCAGACGAGCTCATACGTGATGGCGTTCCGCCTTTGCCGCTCCTGCGATCTCGGGGGCCCTTATCGACGACCTCGCCCTTATCCCGGCGTAGAACAGCAGTAATAGCCCTAAAAGGAAGTGCCACCACATTCAGCACTGCGCGGACAGGCATCATCGCTAACGCCGTGGTCCGTTCGACCAGCCAGCCAAGAAAGCTGCCCTGGGAGGCGCTATTCTTTGCTGCCGCAGCTGCAAGGGAGATGGCATCGTTCAACCGCGTGTCGATAGCCCCAAGTCGCGATTCGGTCTGGAAGGCCAATACCGTCGCCTTCTTCTCGTAGCGTCGCACCGCGCGATTGAGAGCATCTAGTTCTGGCTGTATCGCGTTTCGCACCTCCCTGACCAGAACAGCGTTCTGCTGGGCAGACTGCTTCCCGGGCTCTACTGCGCCGCCGCCAGGCGCACCTGGAAAGCCGGCAGCCGCGTGCGACTCCAATTCTGCAAGCCGTCGCGCCATGTCTTGGACCTGACTAAGAGTCGGCGACGTCCCCTTGTAGGGATTGGCGCTGACAACTAGCTGCAGATGCAGAGTGCGTGCACGCACCAGCTTGAGCAGGTGACTGAGCGGGTGGATCTCGGCCGCGAGGATGAATATAGTCAGGTTGTAGTCAGAAACCAAGCCCTCGGAAGGCCGGCTCAGCTGGCCGCGGATAGCGTGCAGGAGGTAGGCGGCCAGGGCGGGGAAGAGGAGGCAGGACGTGAGCGCCATGATCTCATGGGCGTACAGTTCGTTCAAGGCTGCCTGCCGAGACCGCCGAGAGACATCTGCGGGCGTGTGTGGTGGCGGCGGGGAATTTGGCTTCTGGTCCTCCTCCGGAACGTCGTCCAATATTTTGGAATCTGTGGCTTTCTGAGGGTGTCCTTGCGCAGCCGCCTCTGCATCACTCTCGTCATCGATCGCCATTTCGGTCATGACCTCTTCTCTCACGCGCACTTCCTGGGCGGAGTGATACCAAATCCTGGATCGAGGGGTTAGTAACATGTCTGACGGTAGTTGGAGCTCCAGAGCTGACAAACCATGGTTGTGTGACCGACCAGTGGAGAAAGACGGCGGCGAGGCCGAGGAGTAGCAGATCCGTGACCAACGAGCTGCCATTCTTGAAGAAAAGCCCACTGACAGCAGGGAGCAGGGCAAAGGCAAGAGGTAACCAAGCCCAGTTAGTGTTGTCGTGCTGCTCAAGGCCTGCACCACCCGGATTGAGGATGTCATCGCGGATATTTCTCCGGGCTTCATTTAAGCTGTAGTCAGAAAAGGTCGAGCTGCGTCGCCTCAGAGGGCTGTCAAAGCTTCTATCAAAGGACGGCTGGCTGGAAGTCGGACGGTGCCGAAGTTGTGGCGAGTCGTCGACCGTCATGGAGCGGCGTACTGGGTGGAAACCCAAGGGTGCTGACGGCAGGGATGCAGATGTTGACGTTCCAGACGTGTTGTTCACGTGAGCACTGGTACTGCCAGCACCGCTGCTGCTCGGTTTCCTCGTAGGAGAGTTGCCGCTATCCTCGGCCATGCTAAGGGTGCAGCGCTCATGTTCTCCAATTCTGCAGAAGAAGCTGTGTGCGCAATGTTAATGATTTATGTATGTCCGACTTATCGATCAAGCCAGGGAGACGTTGAGATGTCAAGTGGCAGCTGCCTCCACACGGGTTGAGGTCATCATTCGGCAGCTCTCCCGTGTGGCCAAGCGTAGATTGGCAGGGATGTCCGTAGCCAGAATGACTTAAGCTGGAATGCGTTGGAGCTTAACGCGACAGCTGACTAACCTATCCAGTACTAGTGTCTCAGCTTCCCAGACTTCAACAGAATCCGAGATGCGATCTTCGTGGGAAAAGCCTTGTTTTTTTTTACAGATTACACGGTCGTAGTCATGAACAGAACATGCGCAAAACTCAAAACTACCTGAGAAGAAGAGGCGCGAGTTGAGGTGGCATTTGCGATTACTTTGGACTTTGAAGGAGAGCTCTCGAACCGTCAGCGAGCGAGCTCAAAGGGCATCGAGCTCCAGGAATTCGACGACAGCCCAAGTCGTTCGTTAAGAACATGTTTCGCACCTTGGTGTCTCCGCCGCCACGTGGTGGCTACTGGGTATGACCTGAGGTTTGTATGCTCAGCATGCCGAATCTAGTAGAATCACAAGATTTCGCTCTGGAATCTCAAAGGTTAGAGCGTCGTGATAATTCACCATACTACTGTGGACCACATTGGGTGGATAAGGGAGTCTGACACGACATCAGCTGGTAACGCGGCGTGTCTATTGCGGTTGATAGCATCTTTATGAGACTCACTTTCTGGCTTGTCGTCGGCCAAGGCAGCCATCTCGATATCGAATTGCTCTTGACCCGAATCCGAGTACTGATGTCGTGTTCAAAGAAGACTTCATGCGACGACGCAATGCTGGAATGTGACCAGCGGGAAGCTGTCAGTTATAAGTTGTCCGCCGAACTGGAACGTGATTGACATTTCCAACCGGACCAACTCCGGCTGGAAAACTCGTCTTCCGCCGCTCGCAGTGTCGTTGAGGTGCCTGTGATATCCCACATGGTGAAATATCTAGGCTTGTCGCAGGTAACATGCTGCTTTGAGCCACTGCCCTAGTGAACGTCGTCTCTCACTTCGCCAGGATACACTTGACGAGTGATCGAACCCGGGTCGTTCTCCGACAAAAGTTGCAAGAATGCCTTCGGACACATTGACGCTGTCATTGTGGTACGTCCAGGTCGCGGCGAGATACTCGTGGATCCTGTCGGTTGTCCAGGAACGGCCTTCCCAAATGTCATGTGTCGTGAAGTTGGTGAACATATGTCCACAGCGAAAACCGCACCACCAGATACTATCCCCAGCGCCGTTCGCGTTCAGAGTCAGTAAACTCCAGACAGCGCTTCCCTCGACACTACAGGTACATCTGGAAGCCACAGAAGATGAGCCTTCGCCGAAATAACATCCCCTCTTGGTATGTCAAGCCACGGCTGTTTCCACTTATATGCTTGAGCCGTTATTGATGCCAAGAGCAGCACATCAAGTTTTGTTGCCGAAGCTGAGTACACAGCAGTGACGTTCTCAGTATTGCCGACACGCCTGGTGAATCACCTCGGCGCCACTGTCTTCAGCAACGATGATGTTAGCTCGCGCGGTGGTTCATTTTCTGCCCGTACCCATGTTCTTCTGTCGTCTTGCTCACATCTCAGCTTGAAAGATACTATAGGTGGCACTTCAAAGATATTGGAGTCCCACGGACATGATGGCAGTGATGGCATCCTGGATAACTGTGGGCAACTTTGCAGAAACTTGAGTTCCAGGGTAGGGTTTTTCTCGTGGCATACTCACAGACCGAGGCCCCCAATTCAGCTCGGAGCGACGTACTGTTGTCCTTGTAAAGAGCGGTGGTATGACAACTACCAGTGTCGACTTTTTGGAGGCCTGACTCCATGAACGGGCCAGGCGCCGCCATAGTAGGACGCATGAGTGCTGGTACACTCAAGCAACCATGCCCGTATCATAGCCCAGCCAATTGCACGGAGCGCCATATCACTCTGGTTATTTTTCTTCCCTTCCCCAGGTCGGCGACGGGACTGATGTCTCAGCGATCCTGGGTGGCTCTTGTCAAATCCGACAGTATCAGACTCAAACAAATCGACGTAGTACTGCTGAGATCGGTCTGGGCTTGACTGCTGAACAACAGACAGAGGCCAAGGCACAATCGCCACGTTTCGTCATGGCTTCCATCAACGACTGGTAGCGGCTTACTTCCTAATCTCGTACACTGTGAAGAAATTGCACGAACAACATCCCGACGGTTGTATGTGGAGGGTTGTTCCTCAGGTCAGCCAGACCGCTACAACGTGTCAATGACGACTTCCAAGAAAGGAAAACAGGCGATCCAAAACAATACCGCTCCAGAGTTGACATAAGACAGCGTTACTGCTGGAAGCGGTATGCCCTAGTTGTCTGATCTGTCCATGGTAGATAGCTGGCTCAGGTAAGGCTGGTTGACCTTCGATGCCGCGAAATGGTCATTGAGCATGCTGAAGAACCCTCTCAGACCCGGCGGGCAGTAGATGAAGATTGTAAATTGCAAGAGACACATCCATCGGTACTGCGTCCTGATACCGTTAGACACCAAAAACGAACAGCAAGAGCGGGATAAGGCTATCAACCTTCCGAATCTGGTGTTCAAGGTCTCTTGAGCAAGGATCAGATAGGTCGGCAGCGGCCCACAGTGTCACGATAAATGTGCGGGCCCATATCTCTCGAGCGACTTGTGACTCATTCCTCGAATTCGCATGTCACTCAAGGTAAAATAACGCAACGTTCTTTCATCCAACAGCTGCGTGGCGCAGTGGAAGCGCGGTAAGTTCTTTAAGCTCGCGCACTAAATTTGACATTGTACTGACAACAAACAATAGCCGGGCTCATAACCCGGAGGTCCTCCGATCGAAACGGAGCGCAGCTACTCCTTCTTTTTTTCCTTTTTTTGCTTTGTTTAACCTTCACCCTTCTACTTTTCTCACTTGACTCTTCATATTCATCTCTTGTCCTTCTCTAACCAAATTGACCACGGCCACATGGGTACCTTGCCTATGTCGACATGTTGTCGTTATTGTCGCCTCGCCAGCAAAGAACAAGGGGCAGATAGTATTCTGGCAGTACCTCAAATAGGCGACATCGCCTTGACTACGTTGCTGTTCGACTTGCTAGACCACTCATTTGTTTGTCGACCCGTCTAACAGTGGTGACTAGAATGATCGATCGGGCTGTCTCGACAGAGGAGAGGCATGCGGGCAAACTTTGAGGTTCCGTCGCCGTATACCTTTGACCTTGTGTCCCTGTCTGGATCATTGATGCTGAGCAGTTTCCTGTATGGGAATGATATTGCTCTCGAAAAGGAACGCTGTTATACCCTCAAAGTATAAAACACAGCGAGAGGTAACAGCTATTGAGAAAGGATCATCAAGAAAGGAGTGGTAGGGCCACTCAAGTTCAACGTCCCCCAAATCATGTCTTTGAGCGTCTCCTGCTCTTTCCTCTTGGGATTTCGAGATGTTAGGCTCACCGGCACATGTCCTCTATACTATTGGGCCTAGTCAGGAGCCTCGACTCAGCGTTCTCACGCTCGGGGTCTGTTAATGTCATTGCTATAACATAGCCTTTTCCGTATGGTGGCCGTCACTAGGAAGCCATGTACTACTTGCAAGCCATGAGCACTTGCCACTATATTGGCAGCTTTACTTCAGCCCAGGTATTGGCAGGAGGTCCAGGGCGAGAGCAACCCGTGAAAAGACCTAATCTCCGGAGGCAACAGCGGAGGGCACAGAAGGCAGAGCTAAGTCTCTCGAGTTCTGCCACAATGTGTGCAAGGCGCACCCACTGGTAACTCCCGCCCAACTGATTAAGGCATCATCAAGCTCAGCGGAGCTCTCGACCGCTTGATCACAAGTGCCTCCCGCATGGTGAAGGGATGAAACAAACTCTCAGCAACGGTCTTACAGAGCGCATGAATGTAGTGGCAATAGCCTCGCCCACGCGAGCAGCAGTTTCGGACAGCTGCTGTCTCGAGCCGCGTCAATGGAAGCCGATGCCGCCTCCCAGGAGCCCTCTCTCTAGTAGTTGTCCATGCTTGGAGCGTCACGACATCATCTCCATCGCTGGCACAGGATTTCAAGACACGTTACCTTCGTGCCTCACCTCATAACGTCACCGCAGCTCCCTCAGGGGCTGCCTCAGTTTCAAGAAAGGAGAAGCAACAACTGACTCAATCACTCGAAACGACGGCACGCAATGCCGAGGCCATTGAAGTCACTCGAACTAAGCTATCCTGCCGCCATGGAGCTCGTGGACGTCGCCACCGGGAACTCCAGTCTTATTTCTGTCCAGGAAAGGCTGAAAAGTCACCTGGAAGCCACTCGCCCAATCCCGGCTGTCGAACGTCCATCAATACTCATGCACTGTGCATCGGGTCCGAGTGACTTCTGTCGTGCCGGGCTATAACAGCTTAACGGACCCATCCTATGCCTTCGTATTCATCTACATCTGGGCCGTTGGGGGCACAACGGACGGCGTTCGCCTCCGCGAAATGTCCGGAATGGGGGATACTTAGTCCAGGCTTCATCGCGTCTCACTCAAGCCAAGGAACATACGCATGATTCTCCATGTCGCGCCAACAGATCCAGCTTCGGATGGATGATGGGCTGAGAAAAACAGGTCTCGTTCAATATAACGCCCAGCTTGAGAGTAAGAGAGGTGGAGATCGGCACCCGGGAAAAGAACTTCAAGAACGTGAAGAAATATCCGGGGCAATGCCTCGGTGAGAAAAGCCGGTGACATACTACGACAGGGAGGCAACGACGGCACGATTGATAGAGTGTTGGGACCAAAGCCAGAATTGTCATCACCTTCCCGTGAAGTGCAATCGTATGAGACGTTAATGATACTGGCAAGCCGAGCTTCCCTCCTCATCCCGGGCATATCTGGCCCGGCAGAACTCCAACTGATGTGAAGGATGACAACCAGGAGTCCGGCAATATTCAGCTAGCGTCTGATGTTCGGTATCGGAGCTTCGCCTGTCATGGTCCCGCCGCTTCTTCAGTTCAACACCAGGCAACAAGGTCGTCGTTGTCAAAGTACATCCAATACACGCCTTGGCGGGAGAGTGGCTTGTGAAGTGATACTGAAGGTATTCCAGGCTGGTAAACTAGCATGGGAAGAAGAAGCGTAGATCAGCCTGGTTTCTCGCACTGAGGTTAAACAAGGAGGACCCTTGGTCATAGAACGGCAGTCAGGCTAAGGCTCCAGGATGACAGGTGATTGCCGGACATCGGATAAGAATCAACGACGTCCATCCGGAGAGTCGACGAAGCATGGGGGCCCTTCGGTATTCGGATGTCGTGACAATCTAACTACCATCTAGTTCTTGGGTGGGCCAGCGCTTCTTCGCCAACGGCAATGGTAAGTAACGTTGCAAATCCATCCATAAGACGGAAGAAGCCTTGGTTGGGTAATTCCAGGATGTTGGAATTGCAATCAAAGCTTTCCTGGTTGTTGTAAAGTGCTGCTCGAGTAATTGCCGTATAGTGTTTATCTGCGAGGAAGCAGAACTTCTTTCTTTCCAGGAACCTGGAGGTATCCCAAATGAAGACCCTATGCCAGAGCAGCCAATGGAGCAGTCACCTAGTCCCCAGCAGGGACTCCGATATGAAGCCGAAATGGCATCCTTGTGTCAGCCAAGCCTGACGGCAGTGGATGGTTGTATATCGAGCCGTGGGAGCAGTATATTTACCCGGGTTCTGAGCTTCGCCTATCGTATGCTTCAGATCGGTTCGAACAGGCAAGGCTTGAAAGCAAGTCCCTGCAGACACAGACAGTTGTCGAAAAACCGAGTTGTGCCGAGCGTCAATATGTCAAGGTGAGCTCATGAGAGCTTAGTCTAGATTTCAGAAGTCTCAAGACAGTGTTGTAGCCGGAAGTGGTTCATCTCAAGTCTAGCGATCGACCATACATCTTCATGCATCGTTCACTTATTGATCTTCGCAGGTGGGACGAAGGCTGAAGATGGCAGCCCGGCACCAGCCTAAGCTCCGTGCTTGAAGCTCTGAAGGATGTGTGACATATTTGCAATTATTTCAACAGCTCTGACTGGCTGTGCAGGATCTCGAGCCGATTTGTCTCAGGTGCCTCTGAACGTCATCGTCGAGAAGTGATAGTGCCGACCAGATGTTGAGCTATCGCTTTAGGTTAAATGCTCTCCGTCAGCTTGGATAGTGATTAGCCGTTGTTTCACGTTCCGCATGTACTCGGCTTTGAACAGGCGAGGTGTGTTGCGGTTTCTGAAGCAAGCCAGCAGATGTTTGATCAAGTCCGGAAACTCGACGACAGGCGCCTGTCTCCTCTCCTCCTGGTTTGGTTCGCTAGCTGTCCTGGAAATCTCTTCTAGAAGGTGGTCCAGGATCTTTTCGCCTTGAACTACGGAATGACTTGCTTGAAGACAACGTGGCCGGCCTGGCCGATGCGTCGATCAATTGGGCAAGGGTTCAGCACCCGGACAGTGATCCACGGGTGTAGCATTTCTCTCGACGATCTGGAAGGAATTCTAGACTACAGACCCGGCCCAAACCCATCCAGATATTGCTAATCCGAAGATCTGACACTTGAGACACCAGGCTACTTGGATACCGTAGCAATGGGTGTGACTTGTGTCAGAACTTCCGCAACCGCTCTGTCACCTCACAAGTCTAGCGCGTTGGGGTGGGAGAAGTTGGTTCCTAACAAGTGCCATAGACATCTTACGGCCATGGGGTTATGCACGCCCACAACAGCCAACTGAGGTGATGTGCTATGGCTCGCACTGACGACAAGCTCGTAGAAATTCGTATCATATGTTCAGAGTTTGCGGTTCTCCATCCCATGCCGGCTGAGGGCTCTTTTTTGACGGGACCCAGACTTGCCAAACGGCGCTACGCCATTGCGTCAGGGTTACAGTGCAGATGTTCGTGCGAATCTTCCCCATGCCGCCTTGATGATTGCCGTTGACACCTGACAGCGCAATTAAAGAGTCAATGCAACCGCGGAGAATAATCTGACACTTGTCAAGACCTCGAAGCCGGGGAGCACATCACCAGTCTTCCCGCTGACCTTTAACCGGAGTCGGACCCAGAATCCTTGCAGCCCCACGGCAGGTTCGTCCAAGTCCTTGGACCGGCGGCCTGTTCACATCGATATGATACCTCGGGGGCTGGCATCCGCTCGGCATGAGTGTCCTGGATTCCAGAGGTCAAGAGCAGCCATTCTCCTGTCACGTAATTACTGGGCTGGAGATACGAGATAGCTTGTCAGAGGAACGGTGACCAGAAAATCCATAGCCTACGGGAGGGGCGTACATGGTTCGAAGGATGTAAGGAGGCGTAGGAGTGCTCTGGATATCTGTACGACGCGGCGACAACCCTCTGAGTGGGTAGTGCGAGAACAGATGCAGTAGTCAAACTTAATATCTCCAAGCGGGAAAGCCAGTACCAGAAAGCTGGTGAGGGTCCGAGAGCGTGGCAGAGGCGGCGACCTTGAAGCAAGCAGATCTGCAATCATCTCTGTGTAAGCCAAAGTTGCTGCAAAGGGACATTCTCGGGCTGCGCCGCAGCTGTTCGCGACCGAGAAACAACGCGGCTGGCCCCTTCATGCAGGCGAAACCCAATGTCCCGAATGTCGACATGGACACTTTCATGATGGACAATATGCATGCCAGACATGCAATGACGGAACGGACTTATTCTCGGTCCATAGTTGACCTGTACGAACCTGGGTTATCTGGTCCTTTTGGTTAGGGGGGTGCGGTGCAAGCAGAGCGTGAGAGTCAAAAAAGCTTCGACTCACGTTCTGAACAGATGCCTCTGACGGCTTTTGAAGTTGGCGGTTCCCATAACTAGCGGCCGTGCCGTGTCTGTGGCGCAAGTTGCCTTGGGATTT